GGTGGAGAATGGAGCGCTGTTGGCAATTGCGAATGAGGACCGTGGAGGTTCTGACGGTAGGAGACATGCGAAACGGTCCGGTAACGGTAGCGGGAGAGCGAGATCAGCGGTAGAGAGGGAAGGAACAACGATCATCTTCGCTGACAAACTATTACACTATATTCATCCAGAATCCAGGCGAGAAGTGACCTTGGCACATTCAAGCAACTCTCTTGGATTTGCGATTGGGTACACGTTGTTTATTCGGTCACTGTGGGGGTCCATAAGGTTACAGGAAGTCAGCCGCGCTGACAGCGGAGGCTGCGTAATGCTCGTATATTCACGGACCGACTAATTGCGAGCGTCATCACGTGAACCATGCGACCAACCGATTTTCCAGACCTGACACATGGTCGCGTGTTCTGACGGGTCCTAAACTCGCACGCGCCTTGTCCACAATGGTGCGCTGCTTGCTCTAACTGCACGTTAACCTTTGTGCGCAGAGTAAACAACAACCCGGTCAGTTTGATCTTCACGCCGCTTTCGTGTGCAGAACAATGGCAACAACCCCTTTTTCATTACTCATATTTTATTTACCGGATAGGAGTTCATCAATAAGGCTGAATCGCAGCTGTTACGGCGAGCTATTGGCCTAATCTTAGGGCATTTGAGTTCACGTTTAATGACCATTAAATCTATCTTCGATCCCGGTTTATTGAGATGTGGGACAAGGTCGGCTGACGAAGAATAAATAACCAAAACGTCCATCCTAGTTTCAATTTTTGTTGGAATTACTTCTGCAGAAATGATGTTTCATTTTTGCCAAGATAACTGCCTGTGTGCGTTTCGTTGGCCATAAAAGATTGGAGCTAATATCTTAATCGTTTAGCATAGGCCCTATGTGAATATTTGGTTTGCATGCACAAACTCAAAGCAACGTCTAGTCCAGTTTATAATCAGCTCAAATGTACTAATTACCTTTTCGACCTCTGCGCACTTGTACGCGACCCATAATAAAATTGTCACAGAGACCTTCCCCGAATTTCCGAAATACGTGTTTGCTCCCTTATTATCTTACTGCCTCTCTGGCTTCCTTAATTATGACAATTAAAAACCTTTCCAGTTTTTCATCGTTTTTCTTTATCACTATCTCTTTTGCCGTTTTGCTCCAGCTTACTGAATGCGTGACCAGTTGGGAGGAATCTTCGGACAACGAGCCCTCTGCAATGTGCGATTTACTGAAAAGAACCATTGTGGATGTCTGCAAGCGCGTCGACGGTTGCGACGAGGACGATTTAATGAAAACGGTCTTTGAACACCTCAAGAATCTGCTCACAACGGAGAGCCTTCATGATGCAATCGTTATGGTAAGTTGCTGGTGCGATATGCTAGAGTCTAGCAACCTTCCCCAATCTCGTTAAAAATTACCTCGTCAAACAACGAGGACGAGATTACTACTAGATTTTATTTTTGGCGACTTTGGGCTACGCTTATATGTTCCTTTAGTAAAAAGTTGAAAGCGTAGGTTAGAAGATAATTTGCAATTAGCGCTGCGACGTAGATATAACTGGGGATGTTACCGTTGAGAAGAAGGTTTTAAAAAACGCTATGCAAGATTCGTCGGTCAGGGATGGACCAATCAGCTTGTGGAAAATCGGACACTAAAGTTTAATGTGGCATGGCGGCGGAGTGACAGACCCTGCTTATTCTCCATTTCCATTCTAGATTGCATTCGCAGCATATGTATGATAGATCGATTGGTCAGGGGTGGTGTTCGTTTGGTCGCACTATGCGCCTAATTTAAAGAGGTGATCAGTCCTCTCTGGGCACGACGTTTTTTAAACGCAAGAAAATTACCCTAGTAGCCAACACGCACAATAAGGCTAGTTTCGGTTATTAATTGAGAAGAAGCCTACCCAGTCACTGAAACAGGGGTTATATTGGTGCGGCATTTCGGGTGCATAAACGGAGCAGCCGTCAGAAACAGAAGTAGCCAGAGGTAGGGAAAGAGAGTGGCTAAGAGGGCTGTGCGACCGCCTGGTAGGTTCGAAAACAGTGGCGAGGGAAGTGGTCGCCTTCCATAATTTATCTTCTTCCTTAAAGGACCGACGATACCGCGTTAAGGCGTGTTTGATGTTGGTTACCCAATATTGTAGGGTACCTAAATGCGCACTATGAAGGCTTTTTGCCACATAGTACCTACTACTGTCCTGGTCAGCAAGTGATCGGAATATGCTAAGGCAAGAATTGCAGCACCAAATGCAAAAAATTGCCTTCTGAATAGCCCATATAAACAAAAACTTTTGGTCGATTCATCTGAGGATGTGTAGTAAGTGGTCCTTAAGAGTGCTTTCTGATGTTTTTTTCAACTAAAATAATAAATATTTGGGATTCCAGCAGGATATAGAGCGGTGATTCACTGAACTTGAACATAAAGGTTTTGGTGTCAACCATCACCGTCCAACCGCGCCTAATTATGGGCTCATGTGATGACATGGTAGACACACGCAAGTTTATCCGGTCGCGCCTGTATAAATAAATTCCCTAAGTCTAAATAGCGCCCTATAGCTCCTAGTAAACGTGTGATAAGTACTCTCCACCGTGATATTTCTCCTGTCCGTCACTCCGCAATGTGCAAGTCCGGAAGAGGAATACAAAGACCTAGGTTAACATTTAAAGCAGTTTGAAAATGGTGGCGGTAAAATTTTACCCCATCCCACGGCGCTTCCTTTCAGTCTTGGATTTGCGAAAATTGTACATTTTACTAACGGTAATTTTCATGTCGACTCGGACAGTGGCTGGGGCCTAGGAATAGGAAGTGGGGTCGACGTCTCAGTACAGTTAACAGACTATAAACAATCTAACGCACCTGAAGTTATCATGTTGCCCTAAAAGCCGTGACTTGGAAGGTTACCAAGTAACGGGATAACTCGGACCACGCGGTCAGCCCAATGTGTGCTCGTGTAGAATGGCTGACTAGCGAACCGAGCTTCAGGCTCCCTCCTACTGTGAACTTTATGGCCTTTCCATTTCGCGGGATCCGAGCCAGATGTGATGGCACACTCAGGAGCAGCTTTGACCACCTCAGCCACCTGCGCCGTCTTCCCTCTTCTTGACTTGGCTATGACACAGGGCCAAGGTTGGGATGATGATGACGATGATGATGATGAGGAGAAGGATGCGGAGGAGGAAGAGGTGGTGGGCTAGTTGTAGCGCAAGTCCATTCGCATTGTAATCTTATTCACGCTCAAGTTGCCGCGCTCGCTTCCAGTCTGCTACCAAGCTCGGCAACCCTGCCTAATACTCCCAAATAGCCTTTGCTCAGGCCTTGCCACTTCCATGGTAAAATCCCGGTTACCGGCGAAGATAAAAGAGAATGGGCGGCAATTTACAGGTGCTGTCAGGTCTCGTCTCAGGTTTGATACTCGGCGTGACAACGTCTCTACAATGTAATCTGTCGGCGAAATCCCCCAATCTGCTGTTTATCAGTGTAGCACACTGAGTAACAACAGTGTCTGGGTGTTGGGGCGGCAAAAGAGGAAGGTTTTTGTTCGACTGGTAACTGATGAGTTAGGATTTAAGAGTTGTATGTCTAGGATGATGGTTACTCCTTGCGAGGATGTCCGTTCTATTGAACGGGAAGGTGTGCTAGGGTGGAGGTAGGTGTAGAAGTAAGAAGGATCAAGAATGGGAAATTTGCCAACTCAAAAATAATAGAGAGAATATAAGAAACAACTCCGAGGCCGGTGATGACCAAAGTTTCACCAAACGAACGGCCAGCCGATTTTAATGTTAGCTCAGGTTAAAGACGCGTGCGCACGCGGCTGAAGCATCCATTGGCATCAGGTTGACACCAGGCCGGGGCTGCATCGTACGCAGTTCTCGACGGACCGAAGGCGGCATCGGTAGACGGTGGCGCTGGCGACCAGGACATCAGACTGCCACGAGTTAACCGAGGGAGGTAAGGATGACTTGTATGGCCACCTAACTAGGACAAGGAAATAGGAACGCCGCTCCCACCTAAAATAGGTGACCTTACGGTAAATTTCAGGAAGGGCGAATATTCCCATATCTGAACCCAAACATAAAACTAAACTGTGACCCTAATCTTAACCATAGCCCTACCCTAAGTCCTACTGTCAACGCGAACCCCATCCTCCACCCTTAACATACTGCTGGCCCTAACACCAACTTTGGCTCATAACCCTAGCCCTAGACTTAACCCTAATCCTCACATGACCCCTGAACCAAATTTCCCTGGTAGTTGGCGCAAAGCCACATGTATTGTGGGCAGTTCCTGCTCCCGTGTTCTATTTAAATCATCCTCAACCAGAGCGACTCACAACTTTAGAGTTGACACCCTTGACCGCGTGAGTGAAGTGCGTGCTAGTATCGCAGGAAGTTAATTGAGTTAAACCCTAGCAACTGCGACCTTAAGGCCCCGGTTCCTTGAGAGAAAAGAATTCATGGGAGGTCAGAGTGGTAGGAACAGCATATTCTGTACAGAAGGAATTAAGGATAGGTAGGAATAAGTGGACTGTTGGAGCGCCCGTCCATCCCCGAGGGCAGCCTGGCCCGAAGTGCGGCCTGGGGACAGCCACCGCATTGAGGTCCTTGTGAGTTGGCTTTGACAGGTGATTGGCTAGACATACGGACGTAAGTGGCCAGTACATGTGTACTCGTGGGCAGTGGCGAACCTTCGCGCGATGATCGGCTGCGCGGAATGAGTCACCACAATGCTGCTTGTCCCTTTTTTTCCGAATCGATACTTTGAAGTGAAAGGCTGACTTCCAAGTATGTCCGTTCAGTTGTTGTCCCAGTCTGCATCTACTCCTTCTTTCAGGGTGTCAGTCGCTTGAAGGCGTGCGCGCCCCTGATACATAATATCTAAACCGATGAAGGCTAATAGTGCATGTTCCCAATCGTAACAGATAGAATGTGAGGTCCGTACTTCGATAGCGGAACGTTGAACTTAGAAAGCTCGCCTAAAAAGGTTCCGGGTTCGAGTTCTAGGTGTTGCAATCCTGGGGTCAGGTAGGCCTGGCTGACGACGGTTAATAAACCAGAAATGACCGTCCCAGTCTCCACTAGCGGTACTCCTCTCTGCAAGACCACGCAATATTTAGGTTTATGTTCAAGTCAGCGATATTTAGGATTTATATCCCAGGGCGGACGAGAGTTGGCTTAACGATGACGAAGCACCGAACGCACAGATAGGTGCGAAGTCAAAATAAGTACTCAACATGCTTCGTATGTATTAGTGGTATCAATGGTTGCTCCCCTAAACGAGCCGCGTGCTAGATGCGCCGGACCAAAACGGGGGCCAGATCATGGCACGACAGGTGTTATTCGGGGTTGCGCTACCATAAAAAGTGCTAAACATGGGGGGGGGCGTTGGTGACATGCGTAGGTGCGGACTCAGGCAACAGTCAGCCGTGGCCTTTATGGCACTCCCAGTTCGTGGGATCTAGTTCAGACATGACAGCTCCGGTCGCCTGCGATCTTCTTAACGCTCTTATGACACCGTACGCGGATGGGTGAGGGAGGAGAGAGTGCCCTAGATGCAGCGCAAGTCTACTATCACTTAAAGACTAATCCATACATAGAGCACAGTCTCTGCATCAGCATGCCCTGAAACACACGGTGGATCTAGTCGCAACCGATGGTCGAACTGTCGATATAAGCTTATCCCGAATACATAGTACTTATGCACGTTGTGTTGTCTCTACGAAGGTAGGTTCACTGCGATTTGGTCTCCTAACACTCGACGTGACAACCAGTCTAACATTTTTTTGTGGGGATTTTAAACCCATCCGGTTGAGGGGGTAGACAGACAGCGAAAGCGTCTCCTCAAATAATAAGGCCGACCTAACGATGCAATCGTGATTAGCCTGTCAGAATCAGGTCAGTTCTTTATCCGGCCTCAAATAAGACCGCTAACGGAATGGTGAATTGATCTGACCTCGGAGTTGCGGATTTAACTGACAATATTTTGCTCTATGACCTCAGCAAAACGAAGAACAAAAGACTAGTGTCTTTGTGTAAGACAAATTGTACATCCATACGTTTGCGTTTTTCTTTTAGATGCATGCATGCGCTGAAAATACCCACGGCGGCCATCATACTGAAGCCTGAATTGTTGTAGGCATTGCGGCAAACTTTTTAAACAAATAAACCTTTTGTTCTGTGTGTTTCTTCCAAATGCCAGTTTAGCCGACCAGCCAACGTGAACTGTTTACACCCCCAACAGCTCTGGTGCATTGGAGTTTCGCGAAACCGCGCTCGCTGCTGGGGTTGCTTTTTCGCTGGTCGATGACAAGCCTATCGTGCAATATCTGCTAAACTAGCGCGTGGTAGGTAGGATAGAGGGATAGGAACTTCCCGCAAGACAGATGGCTTTATGATAAATTGCAGGGAATTT